AAACACTGGAATAAATTGCCTAGGGAGGTTGTGGAATCTCCATCTCTGGAGATATTTAAGAGTAGGTTAGATAAATGTCTATCAGGGATGGTCTAGACAGTATTTGGTCCTGCCATGCGGGCAGGGGACTGGACTCGACGAGGTCCCTTCCAGTCCTAAAATCTATGAATCTATGAATCTATGTAATTCAATGAGAATTTGTGTGTGTCATGGCTGTAGGCCTGAGCCCAGAGCGTTTAATTTGGTTGGTTTTTCTAAAGCTGCAGCTGCAGATGCCTAGTTTTATGGCTGTTACCGTAAGCCCAAGTCTTTACTATTTTCTTGGACATTTTGTATTATTGTATTTTCACTGGAAAACAAAAACAAAAATGCACCCACAAGCACAGGTGGCCAGCAAAGTGACTTAACAAAATATCATTTCAGTCTGTTAGCTCACTTGCTCCTCAGACATGTCAAATGCAGCACTTGAAGTCCTGCCATTGCTAGGTTAATTTTAGTGTTGAGTGTGGGCAGTTGGCAATAATGTTGTCATTTGCTACTGGAAGACAGAAAGGAAAAAGTTCTCTGTACAGTTTGTAGGGCTGACTCACCCTGTTTTCCCTCCTGTTTTACCCCGGTATGACATCAGTGATTGCAGTGAAATTACCCGTTTATCGAACAGGAGCAATGTAGCAGGGAATCAAGCCCACCGTTTTCAAAACCAGAATGGCCCTATAAACTGTACCTGATTGGCTTGTTTAGCTGGGCAGAAAGCCACACCTTTTTATGTCCTATGCGGTGACTGTATGCATTTACACTAGAAGTTCTGACTAAGGTACAATGAAACTATACACAACATGTTAAACCACATGCTTTAAACAAAGGAAACCTATAACTACTATATGTCTTTATCACCTGCTGGTCTAGCCTAATCTCTAAGATTGGGATGTTCAAAAGGCCCAAGGGAGTTAGGCACCTCATTCCTACTGAGTTTGTGACAGTTGGGCACTTATCTCCCAACCTTGACTGCTATTTTTAATTCTGATTTTAACTGTCTGTGACTGAATCATAAGTTCATCTCTTCTCCAGGGCAAGCACGGGCAGGTAGGTGGATTGTAGCAGTGACGGAGCAAAGGGAGTTTCCTGTATTTTGCCAGGGATGGGTCAACAGGGTGGGGGAACCTGATACCCACAGGTATTTTTCAAATACCTGACCAACCTACAGATGGTAGATATCACTCATCATTCTGACTCATTCAGGGGTATTGTACATCTGACAGGCAAACCCCTCACCTATCTCTGAACATAGAGGTGTTTAGAGATTAGGGTGACCAGATGTCCCGATAAAATCGGGACCGTCCCAATATTTCGGGGTGTGTCCCTGCTCCACCGGCAGGACTGACTCGGGGTTGGTTTTGGGTTTTTTTGCTTTGCCGGCGGGCACCCTCCCCTCCTTCCCCCCTCCATGTGTCCCAATATTTGCTTTCCCTCATCTGGTCACCCTATTAGAGATTCACCAAAAGATACACCAAAATGCATCCGTGTATTTTAAGGAGCAAATCCATCCCCAAGAGTAAAAAGACCTCTTTCTTCAGTTTTGGTTAGTAAGGGAGGGAGTACCCCGTGCATCTCTTCCTGAAGTACCGCTAAAATTATTTACTTTTACTTCATGAAAAAATTAGGAAACCCAACCCCATCTCACCCATATAGAAATGACTCGGGTGATGGAGAGAAGAGGTCTCCTGCACAAATATCCTACCTCTCAAGAAACTTTGCACGTCCTGCCACTGAGTGAATATGAATCTGTCCTTGCTGCCCTCTGCCTACTCATAGGTCAGTTGCCCTCCAGATCAGTT